TCCTGCCAGGATGAGAATACCATTCAGGAAGCGAGGTGATGTGAACTTCAGTGGAAACATGTGGAAAAATATAGACTGTCGGTCCTTTATCCCTTTACATGATGTAGCGGCAATACGGTTCTTATGCAATATCTACTGGCAGCCCCGAAAAGCTTATAAATGAACGAAAGAAGAAGACAATTTGACTCAAATCTTGATTGTGAAAGTTGTTGGACGTGCGTAGACAATAAAAGTCCCAGTTGGCAGACTTTAAGCCATGGAAATCGCGATCATCCGATTCATCATCATCGCCGAATTCTATGGTCACGACAATTTCACCATTTGATGGTCTGAAACCATTTTTTTCATTGTCGTGAACGCACAATCTCCACCGAAATTTGGGTCGGTTTCGATGACTCTCAAACAACTTCCATTATTTATAAATCTATATGGGATATATTCGCTCTATTTTGTCTAAGTTGAGCAGGGACTGTTAGTAATCTTTTCTCATAATCATATGAGTAGGTCTCACATTTGCAGTGAATTTCACTTAACCTTGATTCCCAAAAAGTATTCTCATCCAGACACAGATGGAATGCAGTTGCGCCCTCTTCTAGACTGACCTACTCAACACCTTTGGCGAGACTCGAACCCGAATTGTGCAAGTTCAGCGTATACTTTCGACACTTCACTCATTGCGCCAGACTGCCACGAGTACCCTTTGGTCAGCCCCAGCAGATGTGAATTTCAAGGGGGGCCAGACCTTTTCCTATGACACAATTTCCGGTGGATCGTATTCACCCAATTTCCATTAAGATGATAAACAGACTGGCAGGTGAAATATTCCCACAACGATATAATCTGATGGCAGTCTCGAAAACCTACTTGGAAACGAAATGTACATGGTGTAGTGGATTGCCATAGCAAATACAGCTTTGCTTTATCCACACTCCCAAAAAGGGTACAGCTCTTCTTGAAATTGATTTATGTTCTCTAACCCAAGGGGTCTCATAACAGTCTGGCGTAGAGAATAATGCGCCGCAACCACGAAGCAGGCTCGAGTTCCGTTGGAGGTATTGGTTGAACCGATTGAGGCAAGGTCTAAGCTGCAGTCCATCCCTGACAGGAGGGTTTCGGGGAATGTCTACTTTCATAATTGTTGAACTTACTTACATTTCGAGTGAAAGTGTTGCGTGAAGAGATGCAAAGGTCGGTACCACCAGAAGACGACCAGCTGTCGATTGGCTTTACTGGCAGATTGATGCTGACGCTGTTTCCGAGGCAATCTTCTTCGATTCCCGTGAAAAGATGCTAAGCATCTTATATAAATAAAAATAGAAACAAAAAATATAATTATAAATATATATAATAAGAC